ACCCTTTTGGAATGTTGAACTATTGAAATTTAGAAGCTTTTCCCACCATTGTTGTGGTATTTTCCTCTACCTCTACTCATGGGGAACTTTCCCTTCAGTTTCTTGTACTTTCCAACAAAAAGAGCTTGTAAAGAAACTTCAACATTTTCTTTGTTAACATTCCTGAAATTTTATTCCCTAGGGAACAATTGTCGAACACGAAACTCCATTAACAGGCTCGACAAGTTAAACCTGAATAACTCAATAGAAAATACTAGATGATGGAGCATAAAAGTAGTAAATAACATGATAGTTGTTTACCCAGTTTGGTGAAACCACACCTATGTTTGAGGAAATGAGTCAACATTCCAAGAAAGGAAATTCACTATTAGTAGTTTAGTACAATTATACTTACAAGTAACGAAAAATCATATGTTGTTCAATGCCTCTTCCTAACACTACCCGATGACTTTCTATTTAGAGTCTTTTCCTGAATATGAGAACCTACTCACTTTCGTCTCAACCACACAACCCGTGATTGCAGATTACAACTCAATAATCAATATTGAATACTATCACTCAACTCTAGACAAACTTTCTATGTCAAGTTACTAAAATCAGGGACGGACCCATGTGGAATGGTGTGTGGCTGGATGCCGTCACTAAGTTTTAATAATTCTTTATATTATATAATACATATGTTGAATAAATGTTTACTAAAGTTTTGTTTACCTTCCGTAAAGATACTATGTAATTCATCTCTCAAAGTCTTGGTTTTAGTTTCATTTGCATTAATATTAGTATAATATAGTAAAACGTGATTTTATTGTGCTTTGATTTATATAACTATATAGCAATGTTTTAATATTTAACATACTTAAAACAGTCTTATGGTCACTGTTAATTTTTTTTACTATAATATATATTTAGCAACAGTTAAAAGAACTTTACGAAGCCCTCACTACTCAAATCTTTTAGGTATGTCCCTGACTGAAACATAGAGGCGTACATACAACAATAACAAGGACTCAAAAATAAACTCTAGCACGCTAAATCTTCAATATATTGTTTGGATTTCAATGTAAAATTTGAGCTCCTTATGTAGCATAATAATTATGTGCTTTTTTCCTTGGGTAATATCTTTAGTTTCGTCCATAATTAATGCAGAGTTTTTTGGATATTTGATTTGTTTCTTGGATATTTCTACCAAAATATGATTTGTTTTAATTTAAATCTTCATTTAAATCTGAATCAATCTTCGTCTGGCTATCAAGCAATAACCTAATCATATTGCTAAGTCAATTAGCAATAAAATAGAAGAGAAACTTCTCAAAATATTCGTCCAAAACGCAACATTATAGCGCCTATTAAGCACGGCCCAGAATGTCCTTTTTACAACTTAAGCAAATTAAATCAATCTTGAATACTTGGACACTTCTCTATGTTGTTGTTTTTCTAAATGCAACCAATCCAAAAAGGCAATCCATTAGAAACTACAATTCCTCTCCTTCATTCTATGCTAATGAGCCTCGAGAGAAATTTGCAACTCTTTTTTCTCATAGTTGAAAAATCTTTGGACTCTTCAATGGAAACCACTACGTTCTCGAATCTTGACGTCAACGGTCTCAAGATTTTACCAACCACATATTGCTCGGTGATTGTCTTTCCGCAAGCTTTCACTTGATTCACCAATCTTGTGATTCTTGTAGTAAATTCACTAATGGTTTCCTTCTCCTCCATTTGAATTAACTTCAACTGCCTCTTATGAGTTTGCAACATTGGCACATTTGCCTTATCAGTTCCAGCATAACTTTTCAACAAGATTTCTCAAGTCTTCTTTGAGGATGTGCAGTCACCAACCTTCTCAAAGTTATCAGCATCAACATATTGATGAATGAGATACAAAACTTTGAAATCTTTCGTCTTCTCCTCTTTATGTGCAGTTCTTTGTGCAGTTGATACACCTTCTACAAGTGAATTAACATCGTTCTTGATCACTTTAAGAACATCTTGATAACCCAACAACACATTTATCTGTTTACATCACTTGTCACAATTCTTCGCATTGAGAATTGGGAGATTTGCAGGGATACATTCATTAGAAGTGGAACGCATTTTCGCACACTAAGTGTCCGATCGAAGAACCAGACTCTTGATGTCAAATGTTGGATAAAACCTCAATCACAAAAACAATGATGAATAGTAGAGAGGTTGAGAGAATGAGAGAATTAAAGAGAATTATGGTGAAAAAAATAACATTCTAATAATAATAACCTAACATGGATATTTAAATTATCATACAAAACAATACAGTTAATCAACTAATGAAAAAAATACTTTCCAACCTAACAACCGGTTACATATTTGATACAACCGATTGCAGTAAATCTCTGCCTCAAAAATACAAAAACTAAAAAAGGTGTAACCTATTACACATTTACTACAACTGATTGCATTAATTTGAATTTATATATATATATATATATATATATATATATATATATATATATATATATATATATATATATATATATATATATATATATATATATATATATATATATATATATATATATATATATATATATATATTAACCTTTAAGTTTTATTTTTTTTAGTACTGTTGTTTACTAAAAACAGAGTAGATATGGCAAGAAAACCTGAGTTTGCTAAGGTCCGCTGGACCTGCCCCGAAATTAACGAGAAAAATCCGTTTTGATTAGGTATGGGTGTGGGAAAATTCCGATTTGTAATTGCGGGTGCGAAGGCCCGAGATGCTACTATCCACCTTCATCCTGTCCGGTCTTATGATATTTACTTTAATACAAATATTTAAATTATTTATTACACATTTATTCACTTTTGAAGAAGCAATTAAAAATTTCCATTTATACACATTTATTTCTCAACTTTATAAATAAGTTTATTATTAAAATGTCAAGTTTTTAATCAAATTATAAATATTTATTACTATTTAAAAATAATAATTTTTTTGCGGGTGGGAGCGGATACGGATGGGAGCAAATCCGTTTCCATCGGAGGCAGGTCTAAGTGATAAATTTTCATCTCAACTGAGTTTGGAAACGAAAATGAATCTGTAATAGAGAACCGAATGCGGGTTAGGAGCTAGCTAAACCCGCCCCGCCCGTTGCTATGCTTAAAATAGAGTTTAAAATACTTGTACATTGTACATCATTTAATATAGTTGAGTGAGAGGTCTTTTGAAAAGATCAAAAGTTCATGAATGAGAAGTGAATGTGAATTTCTAGAAATACTATTAAAGTCATGAAATGGAAAAAGATTAAAGAAACAATTGACCCAAAACTTTAAGGACAGTTTCACTCTGATTATTAGACTTCATGCACAAATCACAACTACTTTGTTGATGTGAATTGGAAACTAAATAATAAAATTCTTGTATTTGCCCATTCAAACCCCACATTCATAACCCCAACTAGCATTGAAAGTGGTAGAAAAGAATTTTTACGAGAATGTGGCAAACAAATAAATTATTTTTCTCACTCTAGATAACATCTCTGCAAATGATATCATGAAAAAATATTTAGAAGAGCACTTAGAATTGTTAAGTAGTTTGTTACTTAATGGAAAGTTCTTTTATATTTGATGACGTGCACACATTTTGAACCTAAATGTTTAAGATGTGTTGAAAATAGCAAGTGACGCACTGAAAAAGGGTTGCTCTTCATTAACAATGTTGATGGAATTGATACATCAAATAGGCCAAATACCTCCACTAGATGGAAATCAACTTATAGCACACCTAAAAATGCTATTAGTTATGGGTGTACTTTTTATAGCTTATGTTTGTATGTCCAAATATTGTTGAATGGAGAAGAGCACTAGTAATGTGTGAATTTTTAAATCGTATTACAATATTACAAATTTGATAACAAAATCTTCATACCCAACATTAAACTTGTATATGAGAGAAATATGAAAGATAGAATTAAGGTGAGAGATATTTGATAAGTAGATCCAATCAAAAAGCTCAATTACTTGTCATTTGCATATAAACAAGTTGATCCATGAGAAGTTGAAGAATATCAAGAATAAGTTGTTTAGGAGGAATGAAGAGTATGTAAAAAATTGTAGTCGAATATTCTCCTAATGTCATACATTCAAAACAAGCACATTATTCATCTAGAGGAAGAAATTAAAATATATTACAACCATTGTATGTATGTGGAATAAGTCATTCTTATAATTTCTAAAAATAAAAAATCACTTTAAATTAAAAAAATAAATTTGAAATACAAATCGGGCCCCCCAAAACAACTATAGCCCACAAAGGGTCATACTTGGTCAATCAAATTGTGACCCATTTACAAACTGCTTTTTAACAAACCCACGCAAAGCCCATGCCCGTTATGGACGGGCCTGTGGCGGGTCGGTAGCCCGTGTTGCCAAATGGAGGTCCTGAATAGTCTAAATAAAACCATTAAATAGTATTTGTTTGGATATATTAACATAAATAACTCATATCTGCACGACTCAAGCAGAATGATTTCAAATAAACAACAAATGTATACCCTCTCATCTAGAGATTTCTAAGGTTAATAAAAATGGCCATTGATGGGTTTACAATTTATGAGTGATGTAGAGTCCAGATGTAGCTCAAATAATAATAAAGTATATTATTGGGCAACGATGAACACCTTTTCAAGAAATGAAATCAAACAACATGGGAAACCCATTTTATCAGACTCCACCTCCTGAGTATTATGTCCCAGACATGTAACGATCCCTACCAAATTTGCAAATACAGTAGGCACCTGACTATGTCTGGTTTTTCAACTTGCATTCTATAACAGAAACTAAATTATAAAGCATATGCATAATGAAATCAGTCACAGCTAATTTCAAAATATAAACCGATCTCATGAAAATATTGTCAAAATTGAATACAGTCAGAGTAATGTATAAGGATGAGAAAAGAATCCTAACACAGGACGTGTATATCAGCTATCTTAGAATTGATGGACTCAAATAAGCAGTACAACTTAAATGATACCGATTTTGTTGGCAACATCCAGTGCATCATAATCTGGAGTCAACCGAACATAGGCTTTCTTCGTACCATCAGGCCTGCAAAAACAGAACAGATACAGTTAGTATATAAGCTGTTAACTGTTTAGTATTATGCAGTATGTAATACCAACATACTGAAGCAATATAAATTATAAACACTTTTGAGCTTCTTTTCATTGTTATGTGCATCAATTACCTGATCAAAGTGTTCACTTTCTTGGCCTGAATGTCATACATTTTCTTCACAGCATCTTTAATTTTCTTTTTGTCAGCACGGAGGTCAACAATAAAAACAAGTGTATTGTTATCTTCAATTTTCTTCATTGCAGACTCAGTAGTTAGAGGAAACTTAAGTATTTGATAGTGGTCCAACTTGTTTCTTGGTGTTGCACTAATGCGAGGATACTTGGGGTTCCTTTCCTTTGATAGTGTCTTTGGCCGGTGAAATGTGACAGTTGTTCTGATCTTCTTTGCTTTCTTCTTAATCACTTGGCCACCTGACTTCACAGCCTTGGCTGTCTTCAAGGCCTGAGCTTTGGGATCAGCCTTTTTTGGTTTGTCCACTGCACAATAATGACGAAAAAATCATTTTCATGAATCCAATATATCATCTAAGACCCCCTTTATTTCTAAGGTTTCTGGTTCCACTTCCACTAATGAAATAAGAACTGGAGTAGACACTATGGAAGTTATTCAAATGCATTATGAAAATGTATAAACATAGTGTGCAGTGTTTTTGAAAATGAATTATTTCTAGTTAGCTACTGTATTCTCTCCATCGCAATTAAAAAGGACAATTTTACCCAAATGTCATCCCAACAACCATATATTGAGTACAACAACAATAACAACCAAGCATTGTCCTACTAATACGTGAGATCGGCTACATCGTTACTCTCAAGATCTTCCTTAATAATTTCTTATAGTTTTTCTAAGTCTTCCTCAACTTCTACTTGTTTGACTCCTCTCTGTCAAATCTACTATACTCACCACATAATCTACAAGCCTTCTCTCAAAAATGCCCAAATCACATGAGTCTATTTTCCACCATAGATTCTCCTATAAGTGTTATCCCAACATACTCATTTCTGCCACACTTATCAACTTATGTATACTAACTAGCACAACCCAAAATTCCACATCAATATAGAAGCAGTTGAACCATTAATTAAGAATACGGGTTAAAAGGCGACAAAATGCATTACGCATCCAATCCAATCCAATCCTACATAATTCCCAAAGAGACAAAATCGAACAAATAAGCCCCAAAATCCATTGCACATTAACCATACAAACAAAATATCCAATATAAGTATAAAAATCAAACTATTAGAACCCAACAAAACCTACTTTACTATCATCTGATATATTATCAACTAACTCACAAATGATAACAATTACATAGGCAGATCAATTGATTATGCAGTGAAAACGAAAAACTCACCCTTTGTAGGAGCCATTGTAAATCCTAAAAGCTCCTGTTAAGAATGAAATGCGTTAGTCGCTTAAAACATTAGAAAATTAATAGAGATAATCTAGGGTTTTGAAGCTACACAAAAACAAGTCTTAGAACTAGGGTTTAACAGTGGATTTTATTATGTGACTACGTAAAAATGAAAGGGAAATTGATGAAATGGAATGAGAAAGAAATTGAGAAACCTTGAAGATTGAAGAAACGGTGGTGCTGCGACAGATAGTAGGGTTTCGAGCTGGTGGAAGAAGGTGGCTGGTATTTTATAGGTGACTCGAAGTTACGGAAATAACCTTTACAAAACTATGTACAGTTTTATCCTCTGCTATTTTGGTCTGATTTATAAATAAAAGATATATTTTGTATGTTTATTAAAAATGATAATTAAGTGTAACACCTTAAAATTTCATGAGTTTTATTTATCAATAATACATAATTAAAATCTAGAGTTAACTTGTATCTTGGTAATATAATATATTTTTTTATTCTCTCATTTATAATAAGAAGATTCTCTATAGATCTTAAGTGCACGATTTTAACCTAGATTTCGTATTTGTTCTAGCGTAACATTACTTTAATAATATAAGGTGGATTTTATTTTTCAATTTAGTAGCTTTTTTATTTTTACTATTTAATCACTCCTGTATATGTTAGGGTTAGTATGAAAATTTCAAATTAGCTAATTTTTTGTCCTACGAAGAAGACGAACATCATGAGCTGGTTTGGAGACGGTTGAAGACGCATACGGGGTTGTTTCTAGACGGTTGAAGAGGAAGCACGGTCAAAGACGCCATTGAAGCTTGCAATGTCTGAGGTTAGTTTTTTTGATCTATCTTCCAATGTCTAAGTTTCTTTTTTCATCGTCTCTTCCAAATGTCTGAGTTTCGAATCCACTTCACATGACATGCAATATTTTAATGCCATTTTTTTACCATGGAGGTGAATTTATAATGGTCAACAATAATGATATCATATATTGAGAGGGTGTGGATACAATAGTTTCCAGTCAACACATTGATAAATGGACAATGGCTTAAATTTGTAAGTTGGTTAATAGGTGGAGTTATAAAGAAGGGACTTGCAGGTGTTAAACCAATCAACTATAGAAATGCCTTCAAAGATAAACAATTGAAGGAAGCTATGGTCGAAGAGTTGCAAGCGATCAAAAGAAATAACACATGAGAGTTAGTCAAATTGTCAACACATGCAAAAGCTATTGAAGTGAAGTAAGTGTTCAAGTTGAAGCATAATGTTGATGGACCGATAGCAAGACATAATGCAAAATTAATAGCTCGAGGATTTATTCAGAGAGCAGAACTCGACTACTCTGAGGTATATGCAACAGTAGCAAGATTGGAGATTGTTCGGTTGGTGGTCCTCTAGATGAAGAGGTATATGTCACACAACCTCCTGGGTCTGTGATACAGGAGGAATCAAGGAAATTATACAGGTTGTATAAAGTGCTATATGGCCTCAAGTAGGCACATAGGACATGTAACAAGAAGATTGACTCATACTTAGTCGAATTAAAATTCATCAAATGAAAATATGAGTCGTGTTTAGGTTGTGGCACAAAATATAACAACCATTTGTTTATATTTCAATGACTTATTAGTAATTGGAAATAGGTTGGAGAACTTGTCGAAGTTCAAAGAGGTGATGAAAAAGGAATTTGAATTGAAGGATCTGGGAAAGTTGTCGTACTTCCTAGACATGGAATTTCAAATGTCAAAGCAAGGTATGATGTTACATCAAAGAATGTATGTCAAATAGATACTCAAGAGATTCAAGATGGATGACTCAAATCCTGCATCATCACTTGTCGAACCAAATTTGAAGTTGAAGAAGCATGGAGAGGAAGACAAAGTTGATGTCACTTTGTTCAAACAAATTGTTGGATCTCTAAGATATGTGTTTAATAGTCGGCCTGATATATGTTTCTCAATCAGATTAGTGATCAAATACATGAGTGAACCAAAGGTGTCACATATGAAGGTTGCAAGAAGAATTTTGAGATACTTAAAAGGATCGACAAACTATGGAATTCATTTTCCACGGGATTCTGAAAGCAAATAAGTTGAGATTACTTTCTATTCAGATGGTGCTCCAATCTCATGGTGCTCGAGAAAGCAACATGTGGTGGCATTGTCATCGTGTGAGGCTGAATGTATAACAAGATCTTATGTTACTCGTCAAGCAATTTAGATCAGATTTATGCTGGAAGAGATGGAGGTCAAAGTGAAGAAACCACCAGTGTTGTAGAACAACAACAAGCCAGTCATTAATCTTGCAAAGAATCCAATTCTTCATAGAATGAGTAATCACATTGAGGTTAGGTTGCATTTCCTAAAGAATAAGGTAAATCATGGTGAAATTAAAGTGATGCGTTGTTGAGTGAAGCACAATTGGCTTACATTTTCACCAAAGGATATAATATCGACAAATTCCAGACTTTGAGAAAGAAATTAGGAGTAGTCTCGGTCGATTATGATTAGTTAGTGCTTAGTAACTTGGATTATAAGGGGATATGTTCAGAGTATAATCCAAGTTATGTAACCCAAGTTCAAACCCTAGTTGATTAAGGTTAGGGTTTGTCGTTTGTTACTTAATACTAAAGTCACCTAATTGTACATAAATAATTGTAATTCAATTTCAATATCAATCCTAATAATACAATTACTTCTTTTTACTCTCTTTCTTGCTCATTCCTTCAACATCAAATAACATTAACACTAACAAAATAGACAAATGAGAAGGAAGAAAATGTTAAATCCTTGTATTTTTTCCTCTTATATATCCCTAAACCAAAAATACCAAATTGTCCTCCTTACTAACTTTTATTTCCTAAAGTGCCTCCTTGACACTTACAACTCACCTAAAATGAAAATTTTCACAGTAAGTGGTTAATTAACAAAGTTATGGGACATCACACCTGAACCCGTTTTAGACGGAACTCGTGCTCAATTATTAACTCTAGTTAGTAATCGGGATGGAGAATAAGTGTATATCAAAGAGTCGGTATAGAAGACGGAGAAGTTAAAACTTGTCTTTACTCCCTAGTCAAGTCAAGATGTTTGGGAGATGAGTTTCATTGACCTAATTTTCTACACGAGTTGCTTATACTATATTAATCTTATCGAAATTCCGACCAACAAGCCATCAATTAGAATTTAAGTGAAAATTAACAACTTAAAATTACTCACACTCTCTAAAAAAGAAAACAATGGGCTTACTTCATAGTTAAACTTAGCACTTCATCTAATATAGAGTTCATAAATGCATTTAACTTTTATTCATATCACAAAACAAAAACAAAAATAAAAGACATGTTATCCCTTGTATTCCCATCCATATGGAGAGATTAATCACCAAGAAAATCAATTAATACAAATTTAGTCCTTTAAGAAACAAAGTCCTAAATACATTTGTTACATGTTTATTGAGAACAAGCCCAATTTCAAACCCACATCTCCCATCTTTTCTCTCTGCTAAACCAATTATCAAGCCTTTATCAATTGACATTATCTCCACTTTTTATGGCCTTCCCCAACCAAAATCACTTTCATAAACTTCAAATCTATTAGACCCAGCCACTCCAATAATTTCATATCCTTCATTCTTCAAACTTGTAATTTTATCAAACCCATCTTTAAATCCTTCAAGAACATCATTCTCATTTATCATCTTTATTTTCTCATGAATATACTTTGCAACCAAAAACACTTCATCTTCATCTATCAAATCCAATGATTTTGTATCAACTATATGTATCCTAACACAGTTACCAAAATAGTTACTTGTTATTGCTGGTTCTAACTATTAAGATATTGTATCTAATCTAGTGGTTGAGATTGCACCATTTCATCTTGTGGATGTCATTATCTGATAGCCCAATATATATTGCATTGTAATCCCTTTGTAATAACAATCAAATAGATTGAGTATCATATCATAGAGTTGGTTATTTCACCAACTATTTTCTGTTATACTTCTCCGTGTTTTCTGTTATGGGAATTATTTCAATATGGTATCATTGAGCCTTTGAATCCATGGCTCCACGCAACACCGTCAACTTTGGCGACAACTCTAGCTCTTCTGATCCCGTTTCAGATCCAACAAGTTCATATTACGCCCATCCTAGCAATGGCCCTTCCTTTGTATCCATTACTCTGGTTCTCAATGGTTCAAACAACCACAATTGAGTGCAATCAATGCGCAGAGCCCTCGGAGGCAAAATGAAGTTTGATTTTATAGATGGAATAATTCCAGTTCCCACTGATCCATTCTATTTGAGTTTGCGTGCTTGGACTCGTTGTAACATACTCGTCCACTCGTGGATTATGCGTTCAGTTTCAAAATCTATTGGATAATCCATCGTTTTCAAAACGCCATTTGTGTCTGGAATAACCTCAAAGAAAGATTTGCACAAGGGGATCTTGTTCACATTTCAGAGCTACAACAGGAAATCTACTATTTGAAGCAAGAAAATCGCACGATAACTAAGTTTTTTTTCACATCTTAAGATTCTTTAGGAAGAATTAGGAGTGTATATGCCGATACCTAATTGTAGTTGTTGTATTCGATGTTCTTGTGAAGTTATACGAATTGCTAGATTCAATCACAATCTTATGTATGTTATTCGTTTTCTAACTGGATTGAATGAAGAATTCAATGTTGTTAAGTCTCAGATTTTACTTATAGATCCCTTACCCCCTCTAAACAAGATTTTCTCTATGGTCATTCAACATGAGCGCCAGATTAACCCCAGTCCAAATGCCTCTGATGACTCCAAGATCTTAGTTAGTGCTGCATACAATAGAAAATATGCTGCTAGAAATCCAAAATATAGGCAAAGAGTTTGCACCTTTTGTGGCAAAAATGGCCACACAATTGACACTTGTTATCAAAATCATGGAGTTCCTCCACACCTGCAGTAAAATGCCAGCTCCACAGCTCATAATGTCAACACAGATAGTCAAGATAATGCTC